GGGAGGTTGCTAAGCACGAAAGAAGCGTAAGAGTAGCTTGAGGTGATAGCCGAGAGTGACTCTAGCTTCTTGAGTGCATAGCAAACCTCCCAAGTGCATCCATAACTCAATAGTGTACTCTGTGGTGTTTACCATTTGTTTTATAACATAACATTGATACATTGTAGCTAAAGAGTTCCCTTTTATTTAACAAATCTTATGCGACCAGAAAAAAAAAGGGCGGGCAGAAAAATAGTCTTTGCATTTGCTCACATCAGCAGCATACACCCATGGGCAAATGGGGGACGCTAAATTGACCAATCAGAGCGTGCGCTTTATTTTGGTTATGTTATAATCCTTTATGGACAATAAAGATTTATTGATTGGTTTATTTATGATTTGATTGATGGATTAATGGATCAATGGATTAATGGATGAAGTAATTGAACACCTTGATTTCTTCATTCTTTTGATATCATTAAAAAGGATATTTTCTGGAATTTTGAGTGGTATATTATTTTATTTGACAGATGACAGCTCTTCACAAAGCCATAGAGAAAGGTTACGAGGGTATTATTAAGTTACTGCTGGAGAAAGGAGCAGATATCAGCATTACTGATCATGTAAGACAAAAGAGATGAATTACTGAACATAATCAAATATTTTGATGATTAAAAAATGAACGGTAAAACACGACGTTTCGACCGTGCTTTGGTCATTGTCAAGTGAATGGAATGAAATACAGTAAATATATGTATATATACACGTACGAAAAATAAAAAATTTTTTGCAGGTGTAAACAAACAATAAAACTGTACAAAGAAAGTGCTATTAAAAAGCTAATTAAAAACCTTAGCACAAATTGAATCAGACAGTACATTGAGAGCAGGTCTTAGCTTGTGAATAAAAAACATCTCATAGATGAGACAGTCAAATTTGTTCATGCACTTCATTAAGGTGCTTAAGTTCTTTGTAAGATCCTTTGGAGTCAAAGAATGTTTGTCGCGAAAATGTTTGCCAATTGACGAAGAGGAGTTTTTAAGTTCTTCAGTACGTTGGTGTAGATGATGGTGTGTGAAACCAACATAACCTGCATCGCACAGGTCACATTGAAATTTGTAAACAAGGCACTGTTGGTTCACAATTGGTGGCTTAGCTTCTTGCAATTTGAGGTCTCAACCAATCTTCTGGCTAACAAATACAGGTTGTAAGGTCGTCTGGATCCGTCCATTAGGTACCAGGCTGGCCCATCTTTATGGTTTGCCCAAAACACACAAGAGAGAGTTAGCTATGCGACCTATTCTGTCAGCCACACAGACCTACAATTTTGCCCTCGCCAAATGGCTAGATGACAAACTAAAACCTCTCGCCACAAATCAGTATATGATAAGCAACACCTTTGAGTTCGTGAATGAGATCCACAAAATGGTTATTAACAGTGGAGATATTCTGGTTTCCTATGATGTTTCTTCATTCTTTACCTACGTACCCTTGGAGGAGACCATATAACTACTTGCCGATAAGGCTTTCATTAATAATTGGTTTAATGAAACATACCATCTTAATCTCAATAAGCTGGATATTGGCGATCTTCTTAGAACGGCAACTAAGGACCAACTTTTCACGTTTAACGGCTGGCTATATGAACAGATCGACAGAGTTGCTATGGGCTTCCCCCTTGGTCCTCTGTTAGCCAACGCTTTTATGTGCAGCATCGAAAAAACCCTGGAGCGTGAAGGCAAGATGCCCACGTACTACAAGAGATTTGTTGATGACACATTGACCATTATGCCGAACAAAGCATCAGCAGACAATTTCCTCGACATTTTAAACCAGTGCTCTGTGTCTATTAAGTTTACCATGGAGGTGGAGAGTAACAGCATGCTCCCTTTTTTGGGCACCCAGCTGCTCAACAAATGTACACATGTTGAGACCAAGGTGTATGTCAAACCTACAAATACGGGCCTTTTACTACATTACAAGAGCCATGTAGATGATCGTTACAAACGTGGGTTATTAAAAACTATGCTTGATCGTGCATTTCGACTTTCCTCTAATTGGCGTTATTTCTCTGAAGAATGCGATCGACTTAAATCAGTATTTTCTCGTTTGAAATATCCTGATAATCTAGTCAATTCTACCATTTCACGGTTTGTTGCCACCAAAGTATCTGATCAACGGGTTTCCTTACCTGCTGTCAGTGATCAATCGGACCCCATTCGTGTTGTTCTACCGTATATGGATCAGGCATCCGCTGATATTGTTCATGCCCAACTTAAAGATCTAAGTCATAGGATCCAGACGACCTTACAACCTGTATTTGTTAGCCAGAAGATTGGTCGAGACCTCAAATTGCGAGAAGCTAAGCCGCCTATTGTGAACCAACAGTGCCTTGTTTACAAATTTCAATGTGACCTGTGCGATGCAGGTTATGTTGGTTTCACACGCTGTCATCTACACCAACGTATTGAAGAACATAAAAACTCCTCTTCGTCAATTGGCAAACATTTTCGCGACAAAC